GTGGGTGCATGTGCTGGTCTTTGGGGCATGTGTGCTGTGGGTGCGTGTGCTGTTCTGTGGGGCATGTGTGCTGTTCTGCGGGTCGTGTGTGCTGTTCTGTGGGGCGTGTGTGCTGTGGGGTGCGTGTGCTATATGGCGGGTGTTCTGTGGTGTGCGTGTGCTGTTCTGTGGGGCGCGTGTGCTGTGGGTGCGTGTGCTGGTCTGTGGGGCGCGTGTAGTATGGGGTGTGATTGGTCCTCTGAGGCCGCTCCCGGCGTGTCTGCCGCCTACACTGTTACCCCCAGCTGGCTGGTTCCATGGTGTGAACCAGCAGGTATGGTTGGGAGAGTCCTTGCGCCTCCCGGGGCCGCCTAGCTGGGCGCATGTGAAGGGCATTGTTCTCAGTAACTGGCGGAGGAGACAGGCCGGAATGGGGCAGCCAGGAGCCGCGCAGTCTCCCAGCCGGGTGTGTCCTGTCCGGGCCTTTAGCCGCTTGTGCCGCTCCAGTCTCGGAGCCTCCCGAGGGCAGGGCGGGTGTCTGGGCAGCGCTGGCCTCCACGAGGTTTCCAGGGGCATGCACGGCCCGGGACTGCCTGTGAGTCCCCGTGGCTGGGAGCCTTGCACCTGCGGCTGGCACGGAATTGGAGAGCTCTCCTGGCATCCAGGCCGTGTGCTTCACAGGTTCCTTGGGGTTGTGGCTTAAACGTTTCTAGGAGGACAGTTAAGGACCTCGTCCTGATGGGTGGTTTGAAACAAATTAAATTGTTTTAACTGGCAGTCCCAGCGACGCCTCCGTAACGTCCTGTAGGAGCCGGAGTCAGGCATGCGCCCTCCAGGAAATGCAGTTGGAGTGAACATTTGTGGGAATGTGGGCCACTGGCCCTCGGAGCCCCGCCCGACAGTCCCAGGCCTGGCCCCTGGCAGAGTGAATGCTCCCGAGGGTGAAAGGGCAGACGTGTGTGAGGAGGACAGCCCCCATGACAGGCCAGCAGCAGAGCCACGGGACACCGCCGCCAGCACAGCCGCACCTCGGGCTGGCGTGTGTGGCTCTGCAGCGGGCAGGCAGTGCCGCCTCAGGCGAAGCTGGGAGGGTCCCGCCTTTACAGACAGGATTCCTGCCACTCGCAGCCTTTACGACTGTCCAGGAGCAAGGCTTTGGCCTTCTGGAGTTGAGGCAGAACCGCCAGGAAACCCTCTGCATCATTCTGCTTAAAACAGCTTTTTGTTTTGAGACAGAGGCTTGCCCTGTCGCCCAGGCTGGAGCTCAGTGGTGCGATCTCGGCTCACTGCAGTCTCCACCTCCCGGGCTCAAACGATTCTCCTGTCTCTGCCTCCCCGAGGTGCGTACCACCACACCCGGCTAATTTTGTATTTTTAGTAGAGACGGGGTTTCACCATGTTAGCCAGGTGATCTTGAACTCCTGATCTCATGTGATCCACCTGCCTTGGCCTCCCAAAGTGCTGGGATGACAGGTGTAAGCCACCATGCCCTGCCAAAAACGGCTTTATTTAAAATGCAGACACCACCCTGGGCAAGGTGGTGAGACCCCATCTCTGAAAACCCTTTTTTAAATTAGCCAGGTGTGGTGGCACATGCCTGCGGTCCCAGCTACTGGAGGGGCTGAGGTGAGGGGATCGTCTGGGCCTGGGAGGTAAAGCCTGCACCACTATACTCCAGCCTGGGAAACACAGCAAACCCTGTCTCAAAAAAACCCAAAACACCAAAAACCACCACCCACCTGGGCAGCCCTTGCCTACAATCCTGCAGTTTGGGAGGTCAAGCAGGGGGATTGTTTGCTTGAGGTCAAGAGGTCAAGACCAGCCAGGGCAGGATAGCAAGACCCCATCTCTATTCTGAAAAACCACACACAGTGTTGTATACTAACAGAATGGCAGAGCTGAGGTGGCTTTGGAACCTAGAGGCACCTATGCACGTTGTATGCACAGATGTGCACCTGTCAGTTTGCTGTAGGCCCTAATGAAATGCCACAGCCTGGTAAACAGTGGAAACAAATTCTCTCTCAGCTCTGGAGGCTGTGTGTCTGAGGTCGCCGTGTCTACAGGGCGCGTTCTTACTGAGGCCGTGAGGGAGGGACTGTCCCAGGCCTCGCTCCAGCTCTGCTGGGTCCTGGCAGTCCTGGGTGCCCCCCGGCGGGTGGCATCACCACGCCAGTCTCTGCCTGCATTTCCACGTGCGTTCTCCGGTGCGTGCCTGTGTCCAAAGCCCCGCCTGCGACAAGGACACCAGGCTGTCGGATTCAGGCCCACCTACACCACCCTGACCCCATCTGTAACCACATCTGCAACAGCCCTTTTCCCAAACAGGGTCCCAGCCTGAGGGATGGGGGTTAGGACTTCAACAGATGAATTTGGGGGCGGGGGACACAGTTCAATGCATAGCATACGTGTAGAGTTACGCAGTGCACGTAGGATCTTGTGTTCTGCCTTTTTAGCTTTTTGTTTGTTTGTTTTTTGGTTAGGGACAGGGTCTCGCTCTGTCACCCAGCCTGGAGTGCAGTGGCACGATCTTGGTTCACCGCAGCCTCAACCTGCTGTGCTCAGGCGCTTCCCACCTTGGCCTCCCAGGGAGTTGGGACCACAGGTGCGCCACCACGCCCGGGTAGTTTTTGTATGTTTTGTAGAGATTGGGGTCATAGGCTGGGCGCGGTGGCTCAAGCCTGTAATCCCAGCACTTTGGGAGGCTGAGGTGGGTGGATCACGAGGTCAAGAGATCGAGACCATCCTGGTCAACATGGTGAAACCCCGTCTCTACTAAAAATACAAAAAATTAGCTGGGCATGGTGGCGTGTGCCTGTAGTCCCAGCTACTCAGGAGGCTGAGGCAGGAGAATTGCCTGAACCCAGGAGGCGGAGGTTGCGGTGAGCCGAGATCGCGCCATTGCACTCCAGCCTGGGTAACATGAGTGAAACTCCGTCTCAAAAAAAAAAAAAAAAAAGAGAGAGATTGGGGTCTTGCCATGTTGCCCAGGCTGGTCTTGAACTCCTGAGCTCAGGCGATCCTCCCTCTCCACCTCCCACAGGGCTAGGATCCCTCACCGTGCCCGGCCTGTGCTGAGTTTTCTGCACGGCAGTCGCCCACCTGCATTTCCCTGTGCTGATGGTGTCCACACAGTGGCCCTCTCCCAGGACCGGTGGCACCATCGGCTCGAAGGGGTCTGCTCTCGGCCACCAGAGGTCTCCCTGAGCCTGCTCTCGGCCACAGAGGTCTCCCTGGGCCCGCTCTCGGCCACAGAGGTCTCCCTGGGCCCGCTCTCGGCCACAGAGGTCTTCCTCACATTTCTGTCATCAGCTCAAAGGGGTCGGTTCTTCCCAGCACTTCCCTCATCAACCTATGGATCATGATCTCTCCGCACTGGTTACTTTGGTTTTTGAGTCAAACTGGTAGGGTCTGTTTTTAAGGGGAGCTCCAGGTCAGGGGTCGGGTAAGGCTGCGCATGTCCACGAGTGCTCTGGCTCCAAGAGGGCAGCGCCACATCCGTGTGCGACGGAAGCCACTGTGGTGCTCCAGTGCTGCACTCTGTGGCTGCCCCTCCGCACTTCCTATCATGTTAATTGATGTTGGTTGACTGAAGTTGGATTCTTTCCCCTTATTACTAGAAAAATACTATTTTAGAAATTACAATCCAAGTCACAGCACCCAAAAAATTTTTTAAAATTAAAAAAATAAAAAAAAAATTACAGATGAGTGACAAGGGAATTTAAGTCGTAAAACCCAGTCGCCTGGAAATGGCGCCGACTCAGGGCTGTGAAGCCCCCGGGGTCTGGGACTGCCTCAATGGAAAGGGTCACATCCGTGATGTCTGCAGGCAGCACCCACCCTTTGACACGTGTGCACCTCGATTTCCCCAAAGGGTCTCCACCACGAAATTCTCCCAACACCCGAATGTCAGAACGTGTTCCTTACGGTTTTTATAAAATGTGGTCGTTGGTATAGTTTTATCTCTGATAGAGACTTTTATGCTATTGGTAGATAGAAATTTCTTTAGAAACCAGTGGTAAATTATTATATCACAAGGTTACCATTAGTGGAAGGGTCTTTAATTTTAGTATTCAGGATTTCTTTATTTCCTTTTGCTTTTTCTTTTCTTCATGTAAGCTTGACTAAATGCATCACTGGATGGTAGGTACTTAGCAACTCTAGCAGCCTACTAAAGGATCATTCTGGAATTATGCAGGTTTGGGGGAGAGCAGGAGATATTGAAATGGGGTAGTTAGTAGCCGAATGATTGCAGAATTGTGTAAACTCAATGGGAATTTCTGTTTCTCTTTTTTCTAATTTCAGGGAATGAATTTTATAGCAGGATATCTGATTCTCATCACAAATAATGAAGAAGAATCTTTTTGGCTGTTAGATGCTCTTGTTGGAAGAATACTACCTGGTATGTTGAAAATTCCTGCTGTATGCCTTAACAGTCCTGTTTCTGGTGCTACCAAAATGATTTCCCTGAGAAATCAAGATTTAATTAAAGCACTGTTGAGCTGTTTAGGAGTTGAGGTTAAATCCTTTTTTTTTGAGATGGAGTCTCGCTCTGTCGCCCTGGTTGGAGTGCGGTGGCGAGATCTCGGCTCACCACCTCCCAGGTTCAAACAGTTCCCCTGCCTCAGCGTCCCAAGTAGCTAGGATTGCAGGCGCGTGCCAACGTGCCCAGCTAATTTTGTATTTTTAGTAGAGATGGGGTTTTATCACATTGGCCAGGCTGGTGTAACCTCCGGTGATCCACCCACCTTGGCCTCCCAAAGTGCTAGGATTACGGGCATGAGCTCACGTGCCTGGCCAAAAATCTTTTTGCAGTAAAAAAAAATGTCTTTGTAGGCCGGGTGCGGTGGCTCACGCCTGTAATCCCAGTACTTTGGGAGGCCGAGGCGGGTGGATCACGAGGTCAAGAGATCGAGACCATCCCGGTCAACATGGTGAAACCCCGTCTCTACTAAAAATACAAAAAAATTAGCTGGGCATGGTGGCGC